TAAAGGCAAGTATCCCATGTGCTTCTTAACCACTTTATCTACTTGTGGTACTATCTTAAAGGACCAGTGAACATGCAGACCAAGTCTCTCTCATGCTTGGTGCTTCCCAGGGTCTTACTATTCATCATGTATTCCCTTGTCTTTTTTGCCCTGCCTAGTATGAGGTAACCTCATGTGTATGATAAATCATTCAGTGGTGTCACTTAGCGAAAGTATGGCTATGCCCAAACATATAAAGGTTCACATGCTTTCTTCCACAGTTCACAGCCTGCTTTGCTGTAGTATCCTGACTCAGATTGCGATTTGACCTTCTCCTGTGTGAAAGAAGATAGTGTATTGATGACAGTCATGAAGTGTTTGGAGAATGTACATTATGTACATTATGATTAATTAGTGGCATGTATTTTGTAACATGTGAACTATCGTGAGGTGTGGGTTGCAATAATGGTGAGTGGATGACTCTGCGGAGTGAACTGTGTAGAAATGTGAAACAAAGTGGAGGAAGAGAACTGTGAGGTTGTTAATGTAGAGGTGTGGGCAAGGTTTAAAAGAGAAAGATTCTCACCTTGGAAGTTCTGATGAGATCATTAAATTCTTTCCAGGATTGTACCCATAAAGGGTCTGGTGACATAGTGATGGTGTCCCTACCTCTGAGTCAAAAAGTCAAGACACATTTACTGCAGATGTGTGCCATAGCATGCCTAACCAAAAGTAACCATCCTGGGAGAAAAACTCTTCACATTGAACACCTATGCAATTGACTCCCATTGATGCGAAGATGTTGCTTGGAGGGCTGCCTGGGTCAGAACAGATTCAATAACACCTTCTAGACCAGTGCCTCCAACATGACAGAAAACATTTTTCCTGATTCAGACCTTTTCTAGTCACCGTTTTTATATATGGGTAGATTTTTGACCTTTTCAACTTTTGGAATGCACTTCATATTTAAGAGCTTTTGTCTGCCTTTATGTAATATTGGAGATTCCTAATGTCCAACAGACAGCCTCTCCTCCAACTCATAAAAGTGACACTTGCAGCGTATGCAGATCATTTAATTGAGGTACCAGCACAAATTTAATGTGATGCCTGTGATTGTATTCAGATGCATGCAGCATGTAGCTTTCCTTCCCTAGCATAATCAGATTTCTGGGCCTGGAACTTGCAGCATGCTAGAATGTGGACACTCTGGTAGCACCTAAAACCACCTGGTCTTTCTCTCAGAATGTGAACCACATTCTGTCATGATAAATGTTCTTAGTTATTAATTTTTCTAATTCATTCATTGGATGTGGTCATTGCTAGCTGGTCAATATTTATTGTTCACCCCTAGTTGCCCTTGTGAAGGTGATGCTGATTTATTTAAGTGGCTTGCTGGATCCATTCAAGATAATTAAGAACCAGTCATATGGAATGGACCAAAGGTCTGGTTCAAACCAATGAAGGGCAACCTAGCTGGTCTCAGGGATAACAGACTAAAAAGACCAAAGTCATCTAACATTCTACCAAGTTAGTAATCACATGATATAATAGTATTAGAGTTGTTGATTAATCAGAGCAATCAGTCTCTAGCAGTTGGACTACAGATCCAAACATAGTGTGAGGAAAACCATAGAGGGGTAAGATTTTGAGAACCTTAGGAACAAAGTCACCTGGTCCTCCAAAACATGCTACACTAACCACATGTCATGGCTCAAATTACCCATATTGTGTATCCAAAGGTATTATTTCCTGAAAGTAATCTATCTAATTTGCACTTCAATGTATCAACACTAACTGCTTCCACATCACGGTCAGGTTTTCTTTTTGCTTTGCTGTCAACTTACCAATTTTATTGAATTCACCGTCACAACAAGCCATGGTGGGATTTGAACTCCCTACCCTGAGGCATTGAGAGTGTCTTGTTTTACAGATCATGATTAAGATGACAAAGGATAGAAAACATTGGGCTGGGTTTTGTTATGGAGCTGATAATCCTGTTTGTAATCTCCAATTTTCTGATAACAATCTCGGTTTAGGAGCCTCATAACATGAAGTCATGTCAAGGGTGTAGATCAGGCAGAAAACGAGACAATGTTATTCCTGAGTCAGCATCTGGATGGCACTCCAGCACAATACTGAGGCATCACTGCACTGGTGGAATTGCTGTCTTTTGGATAAGTTGTGAAAATGATGTCCTGATTCCAGTGTCAGGTGGAAGTAAAAGATGCCATGACACTACTTAAAGAGAAACAACATTTTCTCCAGTATCATGACCAATACATTTCCTCAATTACACCAACAAAAATGCAGAGATTTGCTGCCATGTTTCTTGATTACTTAATTATGAAACACTTTGGGATGTCCTGAGGACAAGAAAGTTGTTACATAAATGTAAGCTATTTAATTCATTTAAAGACAGAGGGATTGAAGGATCTTTGAGTGGTGAAACGCTATTAGTATTAAACAAGTAATATCAGCGTAAAGGTTTGTAAAGCTGTGAATATGCTGTGTTTCAATCATAAGTTAAAGTTGATTTTCTCAGCATTCTCATTTTGAGACAGTAAAGGTTGCTGTCTGCCCTATCACTAATCCACAATGGGTCAAACCTTTAGTACCAGCCAATTGTCCCTAATTGGAAGGAACCACTGTTAATTGGACATCTCCTACAGGATTTGGCCCAAGGACTATTGCTACAATGAATGGATCAGGACGCGGAATTGGCCCCAATATTCAAAAATGTTCTCTAAGTGAAGGAAGTCCTATCCTTGCACTTTCCCCATTGCCCTGCAAATTTATTATGGGCATATATTTAGAGCATAGGACCAAAAGATATAGGAGCATAAATAGGCCATTCAGCCCATTGGGTCTGCTCCACCATTCAATCATGGCAATATGTTTCTCAACCACATTCTCCGGCCTTCTCCCTATAACCTTTGATCTCCTTACTAACTGAGAACCTATCTATCCCCGTCTTAAAAACATTCAATGACTTGGCCTCTACAGTCCTCTACGGCAATGAGTTCCTCAGATTAATCACTCTCTGGCTTAAGAAGTTCCTCCTCATTTCAATTCTAAAGGGTTGTTCCCTTACTTTGAGGCTGCGCTACCTGGTCCTAGTCTCTCCTACTAGTGGAAATATCTTCTCTATCTCTATTCTATCCAGGCCTCTGAATATTCATAAGTTTCAATGTGATTTCCAATCCTCAACACTCCTCATATGAAAAGCTCTTCATCATTGAGATAATTCTTGTCAACCTCCATTGGTCTCCTCCAAGGCCACCATATCCTTCCCTAGATGCACAGCCCAAAACTGCTCACAATATTCCAAATGTGTTCTGACCAGAACCTTATAAAATCTCAGCAGGACATTACCCCCTCTTATGTTCCAACCCTCTTGAAATGAATGCTAACATTGCAATTGCCTTCCTAACTGCCAACTGATCCTGCACGTTAACCTTAAGAGAATCCTGAACTGGGACTCCTAAGTCCCTTTGTGCTTCAGATTTCCAAAGCCTTTTCTATTTAGAAAATAGTCTACACCTTTATTCTTCCTACCAAATGCATAACCTCGCACTTTCTCACATTGTATTTGATCTGCTGCTTTTTATTTGCCCATTCTACTAGCCTGTCCAAGTCCTTTTGCAGCCTCCCCACTTCCTCAACACTACCTGTCTCTCTATTTATCCAATTATCTTTAGAAAGAAACAATTGTGATGAATCTGCTTCTACGAGTCTTTCAGGCATTCTGTTGCAGATTATAATTTGCTGCGTAAAATCAATTCTTCAGACCTCACCTTGGTTCTTTTTCAAGTTATCACAAAATTAGAATTTTTAGAAGCTTTTCTTTAGAACATCTGCTGCACTTTTGCTGTAGATATAATGAATGAGGGGGAGGTTCCTTGACAAGATCCATACTCACATACATTGGAATTAAATATTTGATGAGATATTTAAGAATTCCCACATCCCCACATTTTTAGTGGTAAATGCCTTTGTAAACCTGTAACACTATTTGTTTCATCCTGCCATTGGTAGCAGAGCGGTGTTTTCACTCACAAATAGGTCAATTAAACCAGAAGAGCCTTCCTAGATGCTGCTTATTATTAATGTATGCAAAGGAATTTGTAATAGAAATATAAATTTGATGACAGAACATCAGAATAACTAAAATAGGTAGCTTATTTTTAAAGCAACTTGTTCAGTGATGTTATTACACACTGCTGTAGCAGGTGGGATTTGAACACGGGCCTCCTAGCTGAGAGGTAGAGACACTACCATTACACGACAATGCCCTTCCATTGTCACACCACTTAATCCAAAGACTGCCCTTTGTTCAGGCTCCCTCACTGTATGCTTTACCTGTAAAGGGATCAACAAATATTTAGTAGATATATCTGATTTGTGCAACTGGTACTTGGTATTAGGACTTTAGGAGAGATATCAATTTTCCTACATTCTACAATTTTAAGAGTTATATTTAAAGCAACATCCAAAGGGCTGCTATGCCGCACAGCGAAATATGTAGGATACAAAATAAATATAAATGATAGAGGGATTGTAAAACACAAGAGGCCTTGCCTTTAACCAAACCGAAAGATACCATCTCTGTGCTCACTCTCCTTTCCCACTTGGGTAAAGCTTGCTAATTTCACTAATACAGTTCAAACTGCTGGTGGCCTGGGACAGGCTGGAATGATTCTGAAAATATTTTTTTCTCTCTGGTTAGTCAGTCTGGTGACGAGCATTCTCCTGATTGACAGTTGCTCACTGTATAATCATCCTGCTCCCTGTGGCAATGGATCCTGATTGGACACCTTTCGTCAACTCTCCTTTTTTTTGGGTTACAATTTTGCTCTGGTATAATTTAGTTTCTATTGTTGTATTCTGTGCTTTGCGAATCCCTGGCCACCTAGAGTGTTTTATTTCAACTTTGAATGGGATTTACTGGACGCTCACGAAAAGAAACAAGATTAGCTCCGGTTCAAACCTAATAAAGAAGATTCAAGTCGCTGACTAGTTCTGGAAATGCTTCTGTTTGGGTATTACCTGGTTCTATTGAACGTGAAACAAGTCATGGCAGGTTACCCAGTTTGGTGGTAAGTTCCGAAAAGTTTCTCAACGTTTATGTTAAAACTGCTTTTACTTGGGGTTAATCACTCACTGTGTTTTTACCTTGTAGATTTTCTGCTGGGCTATGCTAACGTGCTATGTACGTAGAGAGAGCGCTTGTTCTTTAATTCTGAGCATCATCCAGCTATGTTGGTTACAGGAACAGTATCAGGTGTTTAAACTGCAATCGGCACTTTTTTTGGGAAGTAGAGAAGGAAGAGTGGAGGAGGCGATAGACACTGACACTTGGTGCTTCCCAGTCATTTTTTCTTTCGTGTGTGTATATGTGTGTATATGTGATTCTGCATATATATATATATATCTGTATTTCTGTGTGCGTACGTTTCGGCATAGTGTATGTATCCGTACCTCTCTGTGTATGTGTGTATGTATCTGTACGCGTGTGTCTGTATATGTATCTGTGTATCTACCTTTATGTAAGAGTGTGAATGAATGTGCACGTAGGTGTATGTGTCACTATGTTTGTCAGTTTTTAGAACTATTTGCTCGGAGCGAGAAAAAAGAACTGCAGGTAAGCTCAGATCTGACTCCCAGGAGAACTGAGAACAGGTAAAAGGAGGAAGGAAGAGAACTGCGATCGGGCCAGTAAACTGTGTTGTGGGATTTGTGAAGCCGGCTTGACTCTCCCCAATATTACCGATTGATAAATAGACGATATCGGTTGCACGCAGCTAGAAATACAATGTGGAATGATGCTGGGATCTTTCTGAATCGAGAGGTCGCATTGAAAGATAGAAGATCGCGCCTGTTGTAAAGGGGAGGTTTCGGAGTTGAGAATGAGTTGATTTCGGGTTTTGGGGGTGGGGTGCGTGAGTGGGAGCGGGCTGCATAAACGGACGTTATGTGTGTGTCTCCTTTCTAGTCTCTGCAAAGGTACACCCTGGATTCTTTCATTCCATTTCTCTCCACATTTCTTTACACGACAGATTTTTTTTCGCTCTTCCTGTCTGGGGTGGGGGTGTGTGGTGCTGTGTGTAGGGGGCTGTGTGTGGGGAGAGTGTATAAGGGTGTGTGTGGGGAGGTGGTGAGTGTATAGGGGGCTGTGTCTGTGTGTGTGTGTGTTGGGTGTGTGGGGGGAAGTGTGTGGGGGCTTTGTGTGGACAAGTGTGTGGGGGGAAGTGTATGTTGGGGAGCGTGTTTGTGGGGTGGGGAGTGTGTGTGTGTTGGGGATGGAGTGTGTGTTGGGGATGGAGTGTATGTTGGGTGGAGTGTGTTGGGGGTGGTGTTTGTGTGGGGGAGTATTTGTGGGTAGTGTGTGTAGGGGAATGTGTGGGGGACTGTGTGTGGGGCAGAGTGTGGGGGAGCATGTATGTGGGGGATTTTGTAAGGGTCTGTGTTTGGGAGAGTGTGTGGGGTGGGGGTGGATTCTGTTGGGGAAGTGCCCGTTAGCGGGGGGAGTGTGTGGGGGCATTGTGTAGGTGGGCTTTGTGTAGGGGGTTGTGTGTAGGGGAATGTGTGGGGAAGTATGTGTGGGGTAGTGTTTGTGGGAAGGGTCTGTGGGAGCCAAGAGTGGTAGGGGGTTTGAGGTGAGTGTGCGAGGAGTGAATGTGCAGTGTGGGAGGCGACAGGAACTTGAAGAGGCTTGTGGTGTTTGTGTGGGCAGTGGTGTGGGCATCTGGGAGGGTATGTGTGGGGTTCTGATGTGTGTCTATGTGTGGGCAGTAGGACTGTGGGAAGGTGTGTGAGGAAGCTGTGTGTGGGGGCACTAGGGGGTGCTGTGTGCGGTGGGGAGAGCTCTTTATGTAGGGAGTAGGGGTGTTGTAGGGGGTATGGGAATTAGGTATGTGTGAGTATGTGAGAGTGGAGTGGGGTCATCGGAGTTTTTGCGAGTGAGAGTGGGGTGTTACACTGTGGGTGGGGGTTTCTGTGCATGGGAGGAGTGTGGGGTATGTGTGTGGCGAGGGGAGGTCTATCCATTTCCCCTGCCTGCAACTCCCCCTCCCCCTTATTTTGTGTTTTGCTTCTATTAGCTATTTTTTCATTACTTTCATTTGGTCAATCTCTTTTCGATGATCTATTTGCCTGTATTGATTTCACTGACTCTCTGTATTTTCATGCTCTCTGCTGTCCCGGATCTATGTACATCTCTCATTTCATTATCTACCTCTGGTCATGTCTATTTCAATTGCCACCTGAACACTTTGTTTCTATAACCTTGCTTGGACTGAGGTTTTGATTTTCAATGCAAGGAACGGTGTAAGGAGAAGCTGATCTCAGCACATTGAGAATGAGTTTTTCCTCCCTGAGGGTGGAAAGAAGAAGACAATGAGGAATGAAGGAAAAAGGCAGGGTGACACTGAAACAGAGAGAGAGAGAGGGTAAGGGACAGAACAACAAACAGAGAGAGAGAGAGACGGAAAGAGAGAGTGAGGCTGAGAGAGAGAGATGCACACAGAGATACAGAGATACAGAGAGAAAGGGAGAAATACACAGATATGGAGAGACAGAAAGCAAGAGAGAGGTTGAGAGACAGAGAGAGTAACAGACAGAGAGAGAGAGTGAGGCTGAGAGAAAGAGATGCACACAGATATGAAGAGTCACAGGGAGAAAGGGAGAAATTCGTAGATATGGAGAGACAGTAAGACAGAGATGCCAAAAGATAGTGAGGGAGAGATACACAGTTATTGAGGGGCACAAGGAGAAAGGACGATACACTTTCTGAAATCAAATATAGTCACACAAATACAGAAGTGTGTTGAGACGAGTATTCGTTCAGAGGCATGCTTCATACCCCTGACTAAACTCCTCATCTTTGCAGACAATTTTATTTATATCCAGACATAAAAGTAAAGGCATTATAGTCTTACTAGACCATTGGACTACTCTCTCATTAGAGAGAAATGGCTGGTGGTAGTTTAACCTGACAGTCACCACACCGTCAGAAAAGGGAAGAGGTTGAGAAGGAAAGTCCTCCTGCTGCTGTTGTGGGAATTGAACCCATGCTGTTGGCATCAGTCTGTATCAGAACCAGTCTTCCTGCCAACATAGCTAACAAACCGCAAACTGTACATAATGTACATAAACATGCATGAATCTGAATGTGGGCCGATGTGCAAAAACACATACCATCCATAAATGCACAGGACCATGTGTATATCACTTCTGTTTTACAGGATCAGATTCCCATCTGGAGTACTGCTTTCATTTTTTTTATTTGTTCATGGGATGTGGGCTTCATTTCCTCATGAACTGATTGACTTGTTGGGCCATTTCATAGGGTGGTTAAGAGTCAACCAAATTTCTGAGTCACGTGGAGTCACAAGGATTTCCTTCTCCAAAGGGCAGCAGTGAGCCAGGTTGGTTTATAGAACAATCAACTATGCTTACATGGTCACTATTAGGCCAGCTTTACTGAATTCTACTGAATTCAAATTTAACCATCTGCCATGGTGGGATTCAAACCCATTTTGGTTTAATATTAGTCTGGATTCTGGATCTCCAGTCTAGTGACATTATCACTGCACCATTACCTCCCTGGGTACTAGACCCCAGGAATGGTATCCGGCTTTGCAGTGGTTACAGTGCAGTGAGCAGAGCTTACAGTTTCTCCAGCATTCTCTGTGTTTCTGAATGAGTACTGGAGAAATTACACAGGACACAAAACATTATCTTTGTTTTTCTCTCTCCATGCATGCTGCCAGACCTGCTGAGTTTTCTCAGCATTTTGTATGTTTATTTCCAGCATCAGCAGTATTTTACTTTCATTTAAGTGCATACATTTTTAAAATCCCACTGTATTCTTTTGAATTTAGGTGATAGAGGGGTGATGTAATTGAGTTGCTTGAAACAATACCAGGTTCAGTAGACTAGATATAGGAAAGGTCTTCTGAGGGGAATCCAGGACAAAGCGGACAGAATTTTAACCTTACAGGTAGGCCATTAAGTACAGGAGAGTGAAGTTGAAATGAAGACAGTTTGAAGTCTGGGAATAATAGATTATTGCTGGGAATGGATACCAAGGTATATGGAGCACAGATAAATATATTGAATTCAAGCACAGATTAGTCATAGCCAGATTGGCCCAGAAACAAGAAGCTGAATGGCCCAGTCTTGCCTGTCTGCAACATATAATAATGGAAATTCAATATGCATTTGAGAAAATTGTAGATGACCTCCCATCGCGCTACTCATCACAAGTGCAACGGTATGCTGCTTTACAAAAATAGGATTGCTGAAATGCAATGACTGTGTAAATCACTGACCTATCACTCATATCGCAGCATAACTTTGCCCTATAAATAACATCTCAAAGAAATATCTGTTCTCAGTTGGTGACACCATTGTGAGTGGGTTTACAGGGCACACAGTAAATAATCATGGGTTCACAAGGAGGCAAATTGAAAGGTTGTACACATTCTGGCTTTGACAATCTGTGTTTCTGGAAAAGTTCTCTTTAATTATCTTTAGAGGTTGAGAAGGAGCCTTCAGATATAAGAGAAGTATGAAGAGATGTGTATAAGGTTAACATTACAACAGTTCTAGTTGGTTTTGTGTGGTTTTGTTTCTGGGCCATTGTGTAATATGAAGTGTAGGATTATTCAAGACAATGGAGAATGGATAATTGCTAATTAGTTTAATTCAAGTATTGACTTAAAATCAATAAAGACCAGTAAATTGTATAGCGGAATCAAAATTAATTAAATATAATTAAAAATTCAGATGAAATTGCGCATTAGATGTTATTCAAAGGAAATGAAATAGGATACAAAAAAAAGCATGTGAAATCCATATCATTGCACAATCCAATATATTTATACATTTTTACTGGAAGATCTTAATTACTTATGTTGAGTCAGAGGATACTCTATTTTACAATAGGATGAATTATCTTAATGAGTGAATGTCAAACCAAATTATTATTAGCTTATGAAATGAGATACTTCACAGAGCTTTCGTCATCAATTTCCATCACTCAGGTCAATATGGAAGCCATAAATGAGTAATTTTTAAAAATCTATATTCCTTT